CTGGCAAAATTCCGCATCTACGGACATTACAGATGCATTTGTGACTGCATAGAAGCGCTGATGGAGCGGCAGAAGCGGTCGCGCACCTGCGCGAGACATATCCGCAGAAGCGAAGCAATAGTCCAAGGCCTAAGTCGCAAAAGTGACACTACCTCCGCAGAAGCGACCACACACTTGCGGCCAAAATTGCGCAGGTGAGACGCACCAGAACCATACCTATATTCTTGAACAAAAATGGTCTGAAACTCGTCCGAAACTCACTCGAGCCCCTCGGGACCTCGTCCGAATATTCCAACAAGTCCTGTAACATAATACGGACCTACTCGGGGTCTCAAATCACGTCGAACAACGTCAAAACTACAATTCGCTCCTCGATTCTAACTTAATGAATTTATGAAAAATTCAATTCTAAAACTCGCGCCGAAACGCGTCAAAACAGTCCGGAATGACCTAAATTTTTGCATGTAAGTCCCAAACGACATATCAGAGCTATTCCAACTTTTGGAATCGCAATCTGACCCCGATATCAATAAAAGTTAATTTGTGGTCAAACTTTAAAATCTTTAAGCTTTCAAACTTCTAATTTTCAATAAATGGCGATAACTCAAGCTAGAGAGCTCCAAATTAAACTCCGGGCATACGCCCAAGTCCTAAATTATGATACGGACCCACCGAAACCGTCAAAATACTGATTTGGATATGTTTGCTCAAAATATTGATCGAAGTCAACTTAAGTGAGTTTTAAAGCACTATTTTCTCATTTTTATCAATTTTTCACATTAAAGCTTTTTGAAAAAAATATACGAACTGCGCACGCAAGTCAATGAATGCTAAATGGTGCTATTCAAGGTCTCGAAGCACAAAATTGAATGTTAAATTGAAAGATGACCTATCGGGTCATCACAATGACTTATGCTAGTGTTGTATTAGATTGAATTCCTATCTCTCATTATTTATCAAACCTTGTTTAAAATGCTAAAATTTGGCTATTTAACTATCTCACATCGGCTTGCCTAGCAAGTGGATGTTAGGCTCCATCACGACCTCGAGGTTGGGATTCCGGGTCGTGATAATAGAAAAGTCAGTTTTATTATTTTCCCCATTTATTTCAACTGGCAAAACATGTTGCACTTGTCACAATATCTATTGTTGTGCTCAATTTGTCTATCATAGGTTTCATTTTTCATAAAGGATGTGTTTGGAACGAAGAAAAATATTTCCTGGAAAATAAGTAATTTTATCACTTATTTTTCTATGTTTGGTTGGTGAGTAAATTTATTTTTTTGAAAAATATTTTTTAGTATTTGGCTAGTGAGTAGAGAATATTTTTTTTTTTAAATATATAATTTAGGCAAACATTATGAGAGACGAAATAGGGGAGATAGATGAGGGATGGTAGTAGGAGGTGGGGTGGCGATTATGGTGGGAGGTAAGCGTGAGGTGTGTTTGGTGGGTGGGTTGGTGAAGGTGAGAAGGTTGAAAAAGAGTTTTAGAAAATATTTTCCTTCTTCTTGATTGGAAACCATTTTCCAATAATTGAATGAAAATGAGTTTATTATAAAAAATTAAAATATTTAAGCAAATCAAACATGAAAAAATTTAAAAAATATTTTTCAGAAAGTATTTTGCTTCATACCAAACACATCCAAAGTCTCTCAGACTCTAGCCTCTTCATTTTATTTTTGTGTGTACGTGGGTGGTAAATGTAGTGTCTTCATCTCGAACATGTAGAAAGCATATATCCTAGAGGGCCAAGGCAAGGCTACTCTAATTGTCCAACCAAAAGGAAGCATGTCCATTGTAACGACCCGACCAGTCGTTTTGAGCTCTAGCGCGTCATTCGGCAGTTTGAGGCCTTGAGTAGCTTCACTTCATGGTTTATGACTTGTACGTGTGGTCGGAATTGAATTTTGGGAAGTTCAGAGTTAATTCGGATGAAAAATTCTAATTCCGGAAGCTTTAAGTTGGAAGAATTAAATAAAGTTTGACTTTCGAGAAAATGACCTCAAAATCGGGATTTGAAGGTTCCAATAGGTTCGTATGATGATTTCGGACTTGGGCATATGTTTGGGTTAGTATCGGGTGGTCTGGGAGTATTTCAGCACTTATTATGGAAGGTTAGCATTTGGAAGGTTTAAAAATTTCCTAAGTTTGGTTTGAGGTGGACTTTGGTGTTATCGATGTCCGTTTGGGGTTCCGAGCCTTGGAATATGTTCGTATCGTGATTTGTGACTTGTGCGTAAAGTTTGGCATCATTTCGGGATGTTTAAATACAAATCGGACGCATTCGGCGAAGTTTGAATGTTTGAAAGTTTTAAAAGGTTTCGATCATCAATTCGTAATTTTGATATTGTTTGACGTGGTTCGAGGCTTCGATTAAGTCCGTGTCATGTTTTGAGGTGTGTTGGTGTGTTTGGACGGGGCCCTGGGGGGCCTCGAGTGCGGATCGGATTGGAACGGATCGAGTTTGGACTTGGAAAACTGCTGAGGTTCACCAGGTCTGGTGCGACCGCACCTGCGAAGGATTTGGTCGCAGGTGCGAGACCGCAAAAGTGGCCAAGGGGTCGTAGAAACGGTCTTGGGAGAGCTAGGCACTAGTAGCATATGCAAGAAGGATTCCCACATCTGCGAGCCCGCAGATGCGGTTGGTCGGGGCCTAAGTGACTTCCGCATGAGCGGAGCCGCAGGTGCGGTTGGGGTGCCCGCAGGTGCGAACACGCCTAGGCAGAATATATGTTACTCAATCAGGAGTTTTGCTCATTTCACTCATTTCTCTCTTGGTTTGGGCGATTTTTGGAGAGCTTCAAGGGGAGACTTTCATCATCTATGGCAAGGTAAGTTATTCCCACCTATTGTAAGTTAATACATGGATTCTATAAGGATTTAAACATGAAAATTAGTAAAAATTATAGGGTTTTGGTAGAAAATCTAGAAATTGGTATTTTTGAATTTTTACCACGAAAACAATCATGAAATTGGAAAGAAATCATATATTTGGGTTCGTAATGTATTGGGTAAAGTTTATCTTTGAGAAATTTCGAAATCCGGGCACGTGGGCCCGAGGGTCGACTTTATTGACTTTTAGAGCGGAGTTGGGGATTGTTATGAATTGATTAATTATGGGTAATAAAGTATATATTTATGAATTTGCACATTTGTTTGACTAGTTTTGGAGAGACATGCATCATTTTGAGGTGTTGGAGCCGGTTATGGAACTTTGGAGCGATGTAAGTCCCCTATCTAACCTTGTGAGGGGAAAACTACCCCTTAGGTGATAATTATTGTTATGTGCAACTAATTGTGGGTGCTACGTATGCACGAGGTGATGGGAGTCCGTACGTAGCTAAAGCATGCTTATGTTCGGGTAGACTTAGGACTTTATCATGTAATATTTGAATTGTTTGGACTCATTTTTGTTGGCCTAATTAATTGAATTTACAATTGAAATTGATTTAGAAATAAATATATGTATACTAGGCCGAGCCTTATCACCTTGAGTTGTTGGCTAGTAAATTGAGAAACGATAAAGATTATATTCCCTTTGTGCTCATGTACTGTATTGTAAGCACGTGTCTCGTAATTTGGTAACTTCTTTCCTTTCTTGTGGAGCGGGCCGAACGCCTCGGCAATATAATAGATGCATCAATGGTTCGTGCCGCTCGACCTTCGACAATGTACACATTATTCTGGATCGGGCCGAACGACCTCGGCAAAATCGTGCGCTATATCACTAGTAGTCCGAATATTCACGAGATAATCTTTTCATTGATGCCTGATATTTTATATGGTATTCCTTATTTATTTGATATTGACACTTGATATTTTCGAAGCTGTTAAAGTAGAATACAAGATTGAGAAATTGATACCTTAAAAGAAATATTTGAAAGATTATGTAATTTATAGATTTACCCCATTATTGCTGTGTGCTTTATATCTGCTTATGATTTATCATATTGCTTCTTTGGACCTCTCGTAAGTGTCGATGTCGACCATTCGTCACTACTTCTTCTAGGTTAGGCTAGATACTTACTGGGTACGCGTTGATTTATGTACTCATGCTGCACTTCTGCACTAAATATGCAGGATCTGACACGTTCATTTGGTGATCATCTTGGCCCGTAGGCGCATCTGTTGAGGAGACTTTATGTGAGCTGCATTCCAGGCTACGCATCGCAGTTTACCGAGTCTCCATCGTACTATTTATTTTATCCTGTCTTATTTATATTCTGGACATATATTGTATTATTATTGTACTCCTTAGAAAAATGCTCATGCACTTGTGATACTGTGTTTTGGGGTTATGCTAGATGATGTTTAGAGTTTTGTATATTATTATCGCCTTTTATTTCTTTTATAAATTACAAATGTTGTACGTTCCCGTGATTTAGAAGTTTAAATCTCCCTTTTCTTATTAAAATTTGTGATTTCGAAAGTAATAAAATGGGTAATCAAATTAGTAAATCACCGTTGGCTTGCATGACGGCGACATTAGGCGTCATCACGACCTATAATAGATTTTGGATCGTGACATCCGTCTCCTATTTTTTTCAAATAATCATTTCCTACAAATTGGCTCTAATCTCCATTAATTTTGGCCATAACATTATAGTGTCCCGGCCTCGACCGAGCTACAACAAATGTATTATCTACTAGCATATTTAGCCTTGATGAAATTGTTCCATAATGAGTCCTTCATGAGCCACCATCACCAAGAATTATAATGAAATGGTAAAGATTCCTTTACCCTTAAATACATATCTTGAATTCGAATAATTAAGTCTCCTTTGATAGGATGCCCTAATTACATACATACTTTTATTAATTAGATGATAATAAATTCTATCAAGCAAATAATTTGTAAGTTACATAAAAATATCAAAATTTTATGTTGTTAAATTATTTAAATATAGCTAAGGAAAAAAAAAAAAGAATTTTAGGAAAGAAAGGAGAAAAATGAACTGATGTTCGAGGCCCGCGGGATATTAACCCTTCTCTAATTCTGGCGTGAAAACGGGGACAAAAGCTTAGTAGGTCTTTGGAGACACCTAACCAGTGCATAACAATAAAGCCCAAAAACTCCATAGTCCCTAGCCTGGTTTCTTCATCTGGGAGAAAGGCGGTTGCTGAACATTTGAGCAAAGAATCCATATAAGACACATTCTTCGTTTTTCTTGTTGTTGTAATATTCATTCATCTCTTCTTACCCTTGCCCTCGCTGATTGTAACAGAAGAATCTAAAAAAGAACCCTATGGAGGTTCTTCGATCGAACCTTGGCCGGGTTCGGATTCCAGAGCCAACAACTCGTATCTACAAGCACGAGTGCTGCATTTCTTTCGATACTCCGGTAATATCCTTAATTCCAATCTTCAAGTACCATCTCGCTCTATTTTTACTTCATATCGTTTGCTTAATTGCTGGAAGTTGTTACGATTGTAATTATTGGCCTTGTGCCATTTTTAATAAGGTCAGTGCATGTTAGTCCCGTAGGGTTAACGAGTTTCTTCTAGGGTTTATGGTTCACTCCGATTTGGTTAGAAGCCTGCAGTTGTGATTAGTACTTCGAGTCAGTGGCAGAGCCAGGAATTTAATGCAAGGGGATTCCAAATTAAAGTTTGAACTTGTGAACTAAAGCAATTTTTGAACTCCTTTGCAACTACACTTAGTTTATATGTAAACAAAAGAAATTCATTTTTGCCTATTTATGCAGTATAATTTTCTGACGAGGGGATTCAGCTGAAGCCCCTGGCTCTACATAGCTCTGCTACTGCCGGGAGTAATTTGATTTCCTAAAGCGGCTATGAAGTTGTAGAACAGGGTCAAAATAGAGCGGAATAGATATAGCCATTCCCAGCTAGTTTAGGATTGGCGCATAGTAGTAGTTGTTTGTAGCCTCTATGAAATGCCATATTGGTGCTTACTTTTATTAGTTTGATCTTTTACATCCGTATTCGATAATGCTCAGTTAGGAAATATATCTTCACTTATGAAGCAGTTTCTATTTATTTAGTTACAGTAGTAATGTTTCATTGCTGTTTTTTTCCAGAAATCCGAGGGTGGGCTGTTTGTTGATATGAATGCTTTTCTTGCATTTGGAAAGGATTATGTTGGTTGGAACTATGAGAAGACTGGGAACCCAGTTTATTTGCATATAAAGCAGACAAAGAAGACAGAAGATGCCGAAGATAGACCTTCCAAAAAACCCACTCTCTTGGCTATAGGTATTTAAACTGTTAAACATTTCACATGTAGTATAGCTTGAATGCACTTTAGCGTACAACTATCCAAGTCTTCAAATCTAGGGCAAAATAGAAAAAGAAGAATAAAGAACTGTATAAGTTCCCATTTTCTGATTTTTATCAGAGAGTTTAGCCTACCACAACTAATTTAGGATTGAAGCATAGTTGATTGATTGATTGACTTGGCTTATGCATTTTCCTTCTAGGTATCGACGGAGGGTTTGATAATAGTGAACCCCAGTACGAAGAAGCGTATGAAATAGTTATATTGCCTGATTATGTTACTCTTCCTTTCCCATCAGTGGAATTGCCTGAAAAGGTACATATTTCTTTTTATATCTTTCCACAGTTTTCCTTTTGTTTGCAGTAAAATGAACACATCTATATATTGCTTACATTCATCCCAAACTTGCAGGTAAGATTGGCAGTTGATGCTGTTTTACTAGCTGAAGGTGCTGAGAGAAAAGAGCAACTGGCGTCTTGGACTGCTGATAAGAAGCTTGTCAGTAAATATGCCACGGATCTGCTACAGCTTGACAATGGAGTTGTTGTTCCACCAGTGGGCTGGAAATGTGCCAAGTGTGATAAAACTGAAAATCTTTGGCTGAATCTAACTGATGGAACTATCCTATGTGGTAGAAAAAATTGGGATGGAACTGGTGGTAATGACCATGCTGTTAACCATTACAGAGAAACTGGTTACCCACTTGCTGTAAAGCTTGGGACAATAACTGCTGATTTGGAGGGGGCAGGTAATGCCATCTTATAAGTTGTGTATCCTCATGATCAGAGCTGTTTATGGAATTGCTGCGTGGCTCTTTTTTCAGTTTTGGTTGACTGGACCTGCTGCTTAGCTCTTCTTTTTGTTTTGGCTGACTTGATTTGTTGCTTAACTCTTCTTTTTGTTTTGGTTGACTGGAGTTTCTGGGTAGCTGTTCTTTTTGTTTTGGTTGATCTTGAGAACGACATCAATTCTATCTGGCTTCTTTTTGTACTTGGGTGTTCCCAGTTCAACTATAAGCACCACAATTATTTTAACTGCAGATCTGCTTGGTTTATGATTTGTGGAATGTAACTTATGGTTGTTTGGGCAACAAAGCTAGTCTTTTTTTTTTTCTTTCTTTCTTGAAGTCGTGATTCAAAGAGAACTTTCCAAGACTTAAATTGCTCTCCCAGTATGACAATGCCTGTGTATAGTCATATCTTTCTAGTAAGCCTATAGTCAAATGAAAGCATTAGTTATTGGGTTTGAACTGAACAGCTTGCTGAACTGTTTAAATTTCATCATTCTGGATGTTATTTGGTTTTGATTTTATTTTAGTGACTTCAGTTTTGGTGTAAGGTGGAGGTTCGCAGAATATGTGCAATTACTAACCACCCCCGCCCCTCAAAAACAAAACAGAAAAAGGAAAGAAAGAAAGAGCTAATGAACAAGCTACTTTCTTATGGTGGAATTGGTATTAAGTGTTCTGTACATGGTCTTTAGACGTGCTATGCAGGAGTTAAGATCTGGTAATGGAATATGGCCCTGTAACTAGACTTTACTAGACTGGTTGCTACATTGATGCTATTGCCTTGTCTGTAACATGCTGAAGTGCCTTTTTGTCTTTCATTGATTACTAATTGGTTGCAAACTTTTGGCAGCTCAGATGTTTTCTCCTATCCAGAGGATGAAAGCGTTGTTGATCCACTTTTAGCTCAACATCTGGCACATTTTGGTATTGACTTCTCATCCTTGCAAAAGGTTAGCAGCTGTATAGATGAACATTGTGTATTTTTACTCTTGCAAGAAGTATGAATGATGTGCATGGCTAAAATCTAACAAAATGTTACGTGTTCGGTTATTGATTCAGCTATATTTCTTATGCAAAATGATGGCTAGGCATAAGGGAGGAAGGACATGTGACTGAACAAAGTAATTGTCTTTTGAAAGAGTAGAACTTGAAGCTTTTAAAGATCTTAATGGCATGTGGGGTGTTTGATCATTACTCAATTTTAATATTGTACAGAAATATAATCTATTCGAAATCAGTTCCTGAAAACAAAAAAACTTAGGGTCTCAATGAGTTTGATATCCAGAAATTGTCAGGTCACAGTTGGAGAGGAAAAATTTTCAAGGTAACAACAACAACATACCCAGTATAATCCCACATAGTGGGTCTGGGGAGGGTAGTGTGTACGCAGACCTTACCCCTACCTTGTGGAGATAGAGAGGCGGTTTCCAATAGACCCCCGGCTCAGGAAAGCATAAGCACCGCATTAATGAAAAGAAAAATAGGAAGGAACAACACCGAGAAGCCATGTAAAAGCAACATAAATAACAAGAAGATAGTAAGATGACCGAAATGCAAGAAACGACAGGTAGTCATAGAAACCTACTACCAACAGAAAGCGAGAGTACGTACTAATACTACCGATATTAACAATCTAGCCTACCTAACCTACTACTCTAATTCTCAACCTCCACACCTTCCTATTAAGGATCATGCCCTCGGTCAGCTATAGCTGCGCCATGTCTTACCTAATCACCTCTCCTCAATTCTTCTTCGGCCTACCTCTACCTCTCCTTAGGCCCTCCAATGTCAACCCTTCACACCTTTTTACCGATGCGTTTGTACTTCTCCTCACATGTCCAAACCATCTAAGCCTCGCTTGCCGCATCTTGTCCTCAATAGGGTCACACCCACCTTGTCTTGAATAACTTCATTTCTAATCCTATCTAACTTGGTGTGCCCGCACATTCATCTCAACATTCTCATCTTTGCTACCTTCATCTTCTGGACATGGGAGCTCTTGATTGCCCAACACTTAGTCCCATACAATGTAGTTGGTCTGACCACCGCTCTATAAAACATACCTTTAAGTTTTGGTGGCACCTTCAAGGTAGGGGACATTTTTAATATTGGGTCATATTCTTTTACAGGGAAGGGATATGTTAGGGATATCTAAGAAAAATGTTAAGAATGTGTTGTCACATGCAATAGATATGCATGGGTTAACTAATGCTCGAGGGACGCAGAAGAGTACAAGAAGCCTTTGCATAGGTGAAAATGGGGGAGTGGAGGGCTCTTTTTGGTAGGCGAGGGAACTTAAAAGGAGGTTCTCTATGTATATGTTGAAAGGTATGGTTTTAAAATGACGTTAGTGTGAGATTTGAGGGTTAACATAAAAGGTTTCTGGAAGAAGCTGAGTCATGTCTGAAATTGAATCTTTGTTTTCAAGTAGTTCTACCACAGTGACACTATTATATCCTGAGTATATGTCAGTTTCAGGTCTTTGTGGCTAAGAAAGGGAGACAAGGAGTTTAAATCCTTTTGACAAATTTGTATCCAATTGAGAAATTATGCTTTCTAATTTTGAGGACTATGAGATTGGAACTTAGAATGAGGAAAAATAGACTCATGTGCAACAAGTGTGATACTCCCCCCGTCCCAATTTATGTGACGATGTTAGGATTTCGTGAGTCTAAAGAATTATACTTTGACCGTAATTCTTTTATATACCTTTTAAATATTTTGAATTATTAATTGTTGTGACTTGTAATACTTTTTACGTAGTTTCCGAATATGTGAATTTTATTTCGAAAAAACTTGAAGATTTTATGTCCAAATGCACGGTCAAAATTAAGAAGTTTGAATCTTGAAAAGCGGAAAGTGTCACATAAATTGGGACAGACGGAGTGTTTCTGTGGGTGTTTATCAACCTGTAGATATGTGACAATACATTTGACATATTCAAAAAAGCTGTATGACAATACGTTTGGTGTCCACACTTCGTGGATGGATAGTTTTTAGTGATTAATAAATGGAATCATCCAGCATTATAGTATGTTAGAGAAGTGAGAAAAGATGTATACGGATATGACAGGTCAATAGACTAAAGATTGGGAAATGTTCCATAATAATGGGCCTTAGAGTTAGCTCAATTCTATTATTCTTTCAGCTGGAGTTGCTCATTTGCAGCCCTATTTTGAGCACGATGCCAACTAAGAAAATGATATTCTTGCCTATATGATTACTTCTCTAACCTATGACATCTTACTTTGATTTCTTTCCATTATTTGGAGTCATATTCTGTAAGTACAACTAGAAATTATCCATTAACTGGTTACATACTTTGTGATCATTTTCATTTGAGGCGATTGAGCAATCACTTGTTAATTATTACCTGCATAAAGCTGATACTAATAAGTTACTAATCCTGTCATTACATCTCTTCCTATTATTACGACTAATTCTTTTTGTTTTTCCCAGACTGAAATGACGACTGCTGAGAGAGAGCTAGACCAAAATATTAATTTTGATTGGAACCGGATTCAAGAAACGGGTGAGGATGTTGAACCACTTTTTGGACCTGGTTACACTGGATTAGTCAATCTTGGTAACAGGTGCGGCTAGCCTTAGTAGTGCTGCTTGGCCAACGTTGCATGTCTTATATTCATTTTAAGAAAGAAATGTATGAAACTGTCTGGTCTCATATATCTTTCTTGCAGTTGCTACTTGGCTGCTACAATGCAGGTTGTGTTCTCGATGCGTTCCTTTTGTTTAAAGTAAGATAAATGTTACTCGTGGCAAATGTCTTTGATGTTCATTTATTGAAGGAAAATGTCATTTATGTTAAAGTGGTTTTGGGATTTCCTTCTTTCCTACATCTTCCCATCTGATGCCATATCTTCTATCAGATACTATTCAGATCAAAGTCTGAAAGCAGCTTTCAGTATGGCTCCTGCTGATCCAACTGTAGATCTTAACATGCAGCTGTGAGTAGCTTGGATCTATTCGTTTTTCCAGTTTACCATTACCATTACGTTTCAACTAGCTATTGCATTTGTTGTGCACTCTACTGCTCTACAAAAATCTGCACAGCAAAGCATGTCTTGTTTGATACTGAGTTCTACTTATGTTTCTCATTGTTACAGGATGGTAGTCACTGCACACACTTTATGCATTTTCAAACTGAATTGCTCTTTTGGCACTCCTAATTAAGAATTTTGAGAAGATATTCATATTCTGCAAAGCATATTTGCTTGAATTGTTGATACCAATGAGACATTGTTACGGGCAAGTCTAATGAACAAGGAGTAATATGAAAAATGAATTTATGTAAAGATTAGCACCAACATTGCATTCCTTCATGTGTGACGGAGGGAGTTTTTCTTTCTTTTCGGGGTCTTTTCGTGGGGAGAGGGGTATCCAGCAGGGTTTGTTCAGACCCTGTAACTGCAAATTAGGCTGTACTATGACGATGACTAGAGTTCTGCAGTTAGCTGAATTTTCTGGTCGCATAAACACTGATTCCTAATTGAGGATTCATATTGCTTACCCAATAAATTCGGAATTGAGGTGTAGTAGTAGTATAAATACTGATCCCTGTAACAGAGCCTTTTCCATGCTTCGATTTGCATATTTGGTAAGATTTTTTTCGTGAAAGCTGTTGTTATGAATTTGTTGTGTGCTCTTAACTTGTTGATAGCTGACCTGTATTCTGGCAGAACGAAACTGGCTCATGGCTTGCTTTCTGGTAAATATTCGGCTCCTGTTCTGGAGGTATGTGTGTGAGCATTTTATTCCTTTTTGTATTGTCTTTTTCTTAGTAGCTAATAGTTAATCCATGGTGATTCAGAAGGATGATACCACAAGTGCTGATAGCTCACCGGTAAAATCTCATATGAACTTGTTATATTTTATGATTGCATTTACATGGTTGACTCTTAGAGTAGTCCATAGTATTTATTTTGCTAATATTATGATAGAAATTTGCTGCCGATGCAGCAATAAGATGTATTTTTTCTTGAAGATTGATGACAATGCCTTAAAATGAATGTTGGCTGCAAACCTTTGTCCAGAACTTGTGATATCTGGTTCATTGACCAACTTTTTTTAGTAAATTTCCCAAAATAGTTTTTAAAGCTTCCAATTTTTCATTTGTTATGCATTAACAAATCATGCTCATTACTTAGGGGTAGTGCACTTGAATTGTCACATTTGTATCTTTGTTGTTATAAGTATGGGATTTCAGGTGTGAGGCATTTTTTAGATACCTCTTATATATTGTTCATAACATTAACTCATGAGTTTTTTCTTTCATCTTTTCTCTTTTCACCATATCATTTCACCCGTATCTATATCTTCCCTCTCTTATTAATCATTTGTTTGCTCTCTTCACTTATTAGAAACAGGAGGGTATCCGTCCCAGAATGTTCAAGTCAGTAATAGCTGCTAGTCACCCTGAATTTTCAACTATGAGACAACAGGTACACCAGCATTCTTGGGAACTTCTACAACCAGAAGATTGTTTTTGATTATTAGGTTAAAGCATGATAATACCTCAGCACTAAAAGAAGTCCAGCAATCTCTCGGTATTGCGTCACGCTGAAAAATTCCATTTGAGCTCTTTCCAGCCAGCTGATAAAATATGTGGCTTGTTTGATGCTTTCATCGGCCCTTGTGGTTTTCTTACCATTTTGTCTTGCAACCAAGGTGGTCAGAACTGTTGTGTATGCTCATATTTGGCTTCATGGTTCCTTCCCTTCATTTCCGTTGAGACCTAGTCGGTTTTGTCTTTTTGTTTTGCAATTCTATTCATTCTGGTTTGTTGCCATTACCATCGCTATCAGTGCCTATCACTATTCTTATGGTTTACTAATAGCAACTTATATCTAGGATGCCTTAGAGTTCTTCCTGCATTTTATTGATCAAGTTGAACGGATGAACTCTGGGAAACCTGATTTTGATCCGTCAAGGAGCTTCAAGTTTGGTATTGAAGAACGCCTCCAATGCCCCTCAGGCAAAGTTGCTTACAACAGGAGGAATGACTATATTCTCTCTCTTAATATCCCTTTGGAAAAGGCCATCAATAAAAGTGAGTTTTCTATCTTGTTTATTGCTCTCTCTTCCTGTTCATAGTTTACATTTGTTTGTTAGAAATTCCTGAAGAGCTTGATATCCATTACTGGCTCTATGCTTATATTTCATTTGGTGTGAAATTCCAGAAGAGTTAGCAGAATTCCAAAATTTGAAGAGTAAGAAAGCTGCAGAAGGAAAAGAACTGTGAGTCTTGACTAGTTGATCCATGCTTGCCTTTCATATAATACTTCTGCTAAATGTGTGGTTTCTGCAGGTCTGCTGACGAAATTGTCCGCCCGAGGGTGTCATTGAAGGATTGCTTAGATTGTTTTTCAGCTCCTGAGGAGGTCCATGAGTTTTACAGCACAGCTTTAAAGGCTAGGACAACAGCTATAAAGTACACTTGCTATTATCCCCTTAAAAGTTGTTTCTCCAATTTTCCTCTCCCTCTGCTTGCGGCTGCTCAGATGTAGTTTAGCTTGACTTCTTTTGTTGTTTTAGTAGCACTTGGTTAATATGTTGTGAGTGCCTAGTATCTTTTTTTATTTTCTTCGTCACAACATGCACAGTTTCCTCTAGAAATTATAGGTGCCTTGTAAGAAATTAATGCCCAGTGACTGGCACCTTTATCTATTTATTTGAGCATCCTACCTGATGATTCTACTTTTTATCCTTTTTAACTTTTTTTATAAATAGAACTGCAGGTTTGACTTCTTTTCCAGATTATCTGGTTTTGCATATGCGAAAATTTGTTATGGAGGAAGGCTGGGTGCCAAAGAAGCTTGGTATGTCATTGTTTCTTTAGTAGAATAATTCTAACGAGCCCATTGTTTGATCTTGTTAAATTGCTAATGTTTTTTTTGGTGATGGACTTTTTAGATGTCTACATAGATGTCCCTGAAACCATTGACGTAAGTGGCATGCGAAGTAATGGTATTCAACCAGGAGAAGAGCTATTACCTGACAGTGGTTTGTATCTCCTTGTTTTTTACTAATCTCTTAGTGATCTTGGAAAAATGTCTTTCATTTATGCCCAATAATCCTTTGTGACTTGGAATAATATGAGCATGTCTATCTTGTTGTCTCATAGGACTTTTTTTTCTGCCTTGCCTCCCTTTTGTAGCTTGGCAAGTTCTTTCAAGAATTTTTTGCACTTCAATCCTCTCATTTATTAAAGAGATAAATCTTCAAAAGTGTGGAATCTGCAGTGCATCGCTCGTATACTTTATGATGAGGTCTTTGCTTTCTGTGAGAGGAAGTGTGACAAAGACCTTTGGAAGTAAAAGTAATTGCATTACCGATCAAAAAACAAAGTAATTGCTTGCGATCTTTCTCGTCAAAAATATTGGTAGTCTTTAGGGCGTGGAACGATGCAAAACTTTTGGGTGGCATACAACACCCCCCCCCCCCCCTTTTTTTTTTTTAATAAGACAAGGGTGGTGTCTGGGATCAGTCTCATTCATTTTGAGTGTTTTATTCTCTAAGTTTTTAATTCTATTCTTTTATCTGCATTCAGCCATCATTTCTATTTGCACATTGCTAAGTCATCCTTGACCTAGTAAGGAAGCATAATTTTCTTGCTCCTTTAGCTTGCAATGTTTTCTCTGGATCAATTGGTGGATTGCTTGTTCAGTTGATGTGTCTGTTGAGATACCAAAGAACATTGCTTAGCTCTATTTAGTTCGTTCCATGGTCCCTGTAGGCTGTAACATGATTTGGGTATCTCTATTGATTGAGCATGCTGAAATGATGAATCTGATGTCCATGTATTTTAAATGTGTTTTATTATGTCTTATTTCAATTTTTTTCCATAAAGTTTTTGCTGAACTGTTTTTTAAGCAGTAAACCTCAGTTGCTCAATTATTGGTAGTGTTATGTTCTAGTGGTCTGATAGTGTTATTTTATTGCGTGCTAGTTATTTTATACGGGTGGGAGTAGCAACAGAAGATAGCTACCTATGTATAGAGAGAAGCTAATATTGAACTGACAGTACATACCTCAGATATCTATATTTCATGAAATAGAATTCGGGTCACCATTTACTCTAATTCCTGCTCTAGATAATTAGTTGCTTCTAGTAGGCCATTGATTTTTGGTGTTTCTCATTTTTCCAGCTTGTGATTGTTTCAATTCCTGGGAGATTTTCAAGATGGGGGATGCCGGGATGGTTATGTTAACAGCTTTTTAGTGCATCTCTTTTGTATATGATCATCACATAATTGTCTTTAGAAGTTTTTGGCTGTGATAACTGCTTGCATGTCAATTCTATGGCTGGCTTCTCTCATGTGTTTATAAGTTCTAAATTGCTCATTATTTTTCATTACTGGTCCATAAACCAGATGCTGGGGATGGTGAGCAATCAACAAAGCTTCTGGCTAACGAGGATATTGTTGCACAACTTGTTTCAATGGGATTTAATCTTCTCCATTGTCAGAAGGCTGCAATTAATACCTCCAATAGTGGAGTAGAGGCAGCAATGAATTGGTTACTTGAGCACATGAATGATTCAGGTGTCTTTTGATATTTCCTTTGAGCAGAAGTTCATCAAGTCTTTGCAATTATTAGAAGCATGATATGTTGATGTGTAATTTCTTCCCAGATATTGATGCTCCTATATCGCAAAACGTGCAAAATCCTGATATCGATCAATCAAAAATTGATACGCTGCTTTCCTTGGGTTTTGAGGAGAAACTTGCTTGTAGGGCTCTGAAGGCATCGGTAAATTTCTCATTTCCACGGGTTTTTTGAGCTTTCTCCTTGTTATTCACTGCCTATGACATGGTTCATGTTTGTTCATAGGGTGGTGATGTTGAAAGAGCTACTGAATGGATTTTTAGCAATCCTAGTGCTTCTGCTGCATCAGACATGGATGCTGCAACTAGTGGTGGAGCTGCAGTTGATCCCTTGCTGCCTGATGGAGGAGGAAGTTAGTTCCCTATCTCGGTTCTACTTGTTGATTTACAGCTTTCTTGCTTTTACTTGGATCTGATATATTCTTAACAAATGCACGAGACACGGAACATTAGCCCGTTTATTAAGTGGTGTAGTAGGTGAAGAGCCTCTTAGTTTATTGAACAAGACAATTTTTAGCTATAAAATTCCTGCTTAATCTGGTCTTGGATTTTCTATAAGGGAATATGCTAGTTCTACTGCTTAAAACTTTTCCACTTAGCTTCCAATTACTGAATTACCTGGGTTTAATCATCTTGGTCATGGTTTCTTTTTCTTCATTTGGTAGCTCTCCCCTTCCTCCCCCTTCACAGGGGCAACAATGATTTCTCACTTTTCACCCCTTCGTGTCACGAACCCTCAGCTACTGGGTGGAGGGAATGTTGCTCTTCTGCTAAAGCTCCACCCCTTGGTTTCTCACTTTGTGGTGGTCTGAGAATTGTCAGAATAGCTGCTATATGCTTTTCTTGATCTAAACATTTATTTTCTTATTTGGAGACACGGGTTTCTTTCACTAAATTATATTGCTATCAAGGGCTGCAAATTAGATTTCACAACACAGTCAATTTATTTATGTGCCCTGTTTCTTTGGTTTTGCAATGTCGATAAATGACTACTTTCAAATTCTCTTTAGGATGATAGAAGTACCTAATCTCTTTCAAAAGGTTCTTACGCATAAATCCCATAGCATTGCATTCTGTATTTCGTCCAATACAAAATCACTATCCTTGATGGTGACATTTAGGTTTACTTTTAGATTATTTTATGCCGCTTGGCCTGACCAAGTTTATTTTGGATAATAAACAGGATACAGGCTCCTTGGATTCGTGAGCCACATTGGCACATCTACACAGTGTGGTCATTATGTTGCTCATATTCACAAAGATGGCAGGTGGGTGATTTTCAATGATGAAAAAGTTGGGGTCTCGAAAAATCCCCCGCTGGACATGGGATACCTCTACTTTTTTGAAAGACTTGAGAGTTGAACAATGGACACCCGAGAGCTATATAAAATGCCGGGATACGCATGCAGGACCAAGCAACTTCTGGAATCATAGCTTGCTATTGTCATATGTTATGCAGGTTGAATACATACGACAAGTGTCTCATAACATACTTCACATGCCTAAATCTTAGGCAAATTCAAATCTCAAGTAGAAGAGTGTAAACTTCTTCAGGAGCTGGATTTGCATGGATACATCTTCCATATATGTAGGGGTCGTTTTGTTCTACTGGTTCTTATAGATTCATCTTTTTGCTTCCTCCGTTACTTTTCTGTTTTCTCTCTCTGATGCTTTTTCTGTTGTTTTGTTTTGGTTTGGTTTTATTTTTAAATGGTGGTAGTTGATTGTTCAGCAGGCACATTTTGGGGATACGTGAGGTGTCTAATAGATAACATAAAGTCAGAAACCAGCCTTATGAGGTGTTTAATAGATAACAGAAACAGCTTCAGCTTTAGTTTAGGTGTCCAAATGAAAAAATATGGCTAACTTTAGGGGCTGTCTATGTATATGGTTTATATTATTCAATTTACCGACCACTTTTCCTTCAATTTATTTTTCTTTTGGTCAAGTTGTAAGGTAACAGAGTATTTGTAATGTTTGCAAAAATCAATTGGTAGAAACTGGGACATTCCAACATATACTAGTAGAGAGTAAGTACCACCATATTTTTGACTGACATCTCCACCTTAACATCTAGACCATGTTTAGGAACCAATAGCCCTTCAAATGCAAATGCAGAATTACAAACTGCCATTTTGTATTTTTAGTTTGTCAACTATAAGACGTGAAATGGCTTTTCCAGCTAAAAGCAATGCAGTTCTCAGAACTCAAAAGATACTTACAAATAGAAGCAGGGAGTGGGTATAGAAAGAAGTGCCGGTGAATTTTGGTTGGTTATTCGCCTTATTGGTAATTGGTAAGTAATCATACAAAACCAACCGCAAAACTTCTCTTGCTTCTTTGTAAAAAGAACAGCTTGGAAGTTACCATTTGAGGAGACAAACAAGAGATTTAGTAAAACAAAACTCAGAAATATTTACTGTCTAAATATGCTGTAAAAAGAGACATTTTTGTGAAATTGTAGAATAATGCTCGTATTGGATTTTTGAAGTACGGATCTACTAACTGTATAATCTCTGTGTTTTAGGTTCTGCAACACTTGATACTTATTTTTCGTTTGGGATTGAATCTAGCTTTAAAAACAGTTTTTTAATGGCTTGTGCAGTTGTTATGATTGAATAAGGAAACTTAAAAAAAAAGGAGTGGGTTTCCATTTAGCAGCAGTACAGAGCGTCTAGTACAATTGAAGGATAGTTGCAAATGGATTGTAGAGTCAAGTACAATCTTAGTATAGTTAAAATTGGAAAGTACAATAGATTCAAATCCAAATGTACTACTCCGAACGAAAATTCCCAACTCGTAAGTCGTAACGTACTTCAACTACTAAATTAATAGGCCGGACTAAGATAAAAAGGAAGTGAAAGGGCTGGACACAAGATAATGTTAAATAAGAGTTTTCCCAGGGAAAAAAGAAAAGAAAAATGAGAAAGCAATAGGAGTGGCAAATGCAGAGGGCTTAGAAACATCATTGAGTGCAGCGTTGATGTCAATTTCTGTGAAGTCTTTAATTTGGCATTTGGTCTTTTTGCCACTTTTTCCAATTCGTTGTCATCTGCGCTGCACTCAATCATGTTTTTAGTTCTCTGAAGGAACAATTTTACACATAGTTAAAATTTTTATTGAAAATCGTACAGGTTTGTTGTCTCCTCTCTACTCCTTAAATTTTTGGAAAACTATGCTATATATTTTATACTAGGTTGCACGTCCCAACTGTCGGTAAGGTGAAGGTGGATGCAGTAAATAGTCTTATTTTCTTAAATTCTTGATTTGCTTCTGCCAATATATATCTCGATCAATTCCAAGGCAATCTAAAACGAGGGTTTTTTTCATGTGTTGCAAACAACTTGTTAGACTACTCCATTCCCATTTAGAGATGTACGCAATGACTGAAAAAACTGAATAAAATGGCTTACCTGAGACTTGATGACTCTAAGTTAATTTGCTTAACAAATCTAAATGGGAATGAATGACCAAACCACTAATTATAATAGGCCAGTGGGCACCAAACTGCTGCGAATACTGTAAACATAAATTTTTTCTATATGTAAATTGTTCAATCTCTTTGATATAAGGAAAATTTTTAGTACAACGATATAGGTGGTTTTAAATTGTTTTAGGTGGGGCAAATAAACTTCTTTGATTATGTTTGTTTAGTCTATTATTTTAAATTGGTAGGTATTTCATTCTGCGGAGTGTGGACAAATTCAATTTTGTTCACATTAGAAAAATTAATAGGTAAAACCTATATTAAGAGATACATTGATGCAATATACCGAGGGAATGACCGAAAGCAAAGAATGTCCAGACAGGAAGCATCTTGGCATATATAAGAAAGTTTCCAGACAAAAATTTCTCTGTTTTCCTGAATACGCTTTGCGTTAAATTTAACTGCAATATCATTTCATACAAATAGTTGATTTTAAAATCAATTTTTTTAATTCAAATGCCTAGAATTTGTTATATTATGATATACTCTGCTCAACAAAGAAAAGAGAATATAAGTAATTAGTACTACAGATATGAAAATATCAATTTTCTTCAAGTATTTGAGAGTCAAAACTATATCAATTTAATCATTATAAGAAAGGATTCTGTAATATGGAATTGCTAATACCACGAATTGTTTATTGTTGTATAACCCTTGATGTAATATTTAATGATTCGTAATTTGAAGTATTATTAGATCGGTGTACTATCAATAAAGTACACCAAATACCTGACTATTCAATCCAACTGCTAACTCTGTGTACTATCTTTATTTCAAACCACAACTCCCCGTTTTGTTACTCCGATCAGTAGTTTAGGGATTATAACTCTAATACTATTTCTCATTTTATATTTATATCATATCAAAATTTTAATTTTAAAAACAAGAAATTAATATAATTGTATGGGCCAAAAATTACCATACTTATATACGAGCCTAATCGATATTAAGAAAGCCTTCGGAGGCTGCCCACGTGTTATCAATTTGGTTTCAACAAAGGACGATGGCGAGGTCAAGGAGTCAACGGAGATCGAGGTCGAGGACGAGTACTCTCCTTACAGAGCAGTAACAGCTAGTTTTAGAGATAAGACTTTAAAGAGAATATTCCTAGATTTGTACTATTAGGGTTTTGTGGCTCATGCTCCATTATAAATAGAAAGATATGTAGTTCTAGAGGGGGATTGGACACTAATTGTAAGAAACAAGATATTGACATTCTCTAAAGATTCTTACTTTATTACATACATACAAAATATACCTTTCCTTCAAATCTGTGTCTAACTTTTCTCCCACAATCCAAGGAGAATCCGAATATTCAAAGGCTCATCAATCATTTATCATTGTCAGGAGGAATATCACAGAATCTCACCCTTTTTTTGGTTACCCCATTTGAATTTATTTACATAAATGCCATTATATATCATTTAATACTATTTAATGCCATTCTCTTTGTTCTTGGGCCATTGAATACTATTTATTGTTACACATTTACTGCCATTCAAACGAAACTTGTGATATTCTGCCACAAAATCAGTTAAAAAATCTTTTAAATATTAATATTGGCTAAGATTAACTTTATTTCATTAGAAAATCTAATTGTTTAAACCTAGATCTAAATTTTGGATCAAAGAGTTTAGCGCCTTTTGTGGGGATTTTCTCAGCCAATCTTTTAGTTTTCATTAGATCTATAACTCACGCGACTTGCTAATCTAACAAACCACAAGGTTTATCTCTCCTCTCTGTGCGTACAAAATTTCCATGGTAGGTAACCAAGGATACAGAACGAAGGAAACGGAACGAAGCCAACAGATAATGTTCCCCTCAACCTCATGAATGCTATCAACGAAGGCTATGTCACCCATGATGAGGGGATAACGCCCACGACCTCTCCTAGACGAGAAAGATCACCCTCACCTTTTGCAGCACAACAATACCAAATGGGAAAGGACCCTCCACGTCCGCGGGAGAGGGTACACCACCCGCTATGAAAAGCTCCTCGAAGCATGGCTAACTGATACCCTAGTTAGTGTCCTCAGCAAACAACCTCCATGCACGACTACAGAAATCACGAGAATCCATGCAGCACATCGAGGGGACAAACAAGAAGACCAACTAGACCCTCCGACTTCAGGTAAAACTCACAATATTACTGACAATGCAGGTCGCAACATCCTCGTCGTCGTGCTGAAAAGAATGGGCTAAATGAAAAACAAAAACAAGGCAATGAGAGACCAAATGAAAGAGCACAAGGAACGAGTAGACAAGATACTTGGCGCCTGATGCCCAAAAAGGACGTCGGTAGATTCATAGAACAACCATATAGAGAGGAAGCGGCTCCACATGCCATACCAAAGACCTTCAAGATTCCCCCATATTTCAGAATATACGATGGGACGACCGACCCCGACGACCACGTGACTCACTATGTCACCGCAGTGAAAGGCAACAATCTCACCAAAGAGCAAGTGTCCTCCATTTTGCTGAAATAATTTGGCGAAACCCTCACTGAAGGGGCATTGACATGGTATTCACAATTACCAGTCCATTCCATAGAAACATTCGAAGAGATAGCCGATAAGTTCGTGACGGCACATACCGGGGGCAAGAAAACCTAAACAAGGGTGAACGACATCCTTGCCATCAAACAATCCCCAGGACAGGGACTGAGGGACTTCCTCGTCCGGTTCAACAAGGTAAGGATGACCTTACCAAATATTTTCGAAGGGATGGCCGTCACAGCCTTTCAGAATGGGTTGAGTATAGAGGATACGAGAGCGACCAGAAAGCTGCTGAGCCAGTTAATGAAGTATCCACCAACCACTTGGGATGAAATTCATAATGCCTACTGTGCCGAGGTTAGAGCAGATGATGACGACCTCAACGGACCACCACGACGACTCACCTCGGTAAAAACCGAGCCCCAAAAAGAACGCAGAGATAATATTAGGAGAGATTATCCAGTATCGCGACTAGGCAGGGAACGTAACCAACCCTATGCCAGGACGCCTCCTCCTCTCCCCTTTCGTTATGAAGACGACCCGTCTAGGCCGAGATCGGGAACTCACAGGAACAATAGAGGTATTACCCCTTGTTATCTACTCACAATTTTTGTGTTTCACCTAAAGAGGTGGTCTACGCCCTTGAGATGCTCGGAACAAA